CCCCCCCCACCTCTCTTTTATCTTGGCTCATTCTTCTATTTTCAATCCATTCCTTCAGCCACTCTTCGGAAATCCTTGATTTGGAATACCCCCAAGAATGTGGGGCTGTCCTTAATCAATCAATCTGGGATATGGGGATATACTCTCTATAGCTACGGAATGCTATAGACCTGAGATCCACCAATCATCCATGAGAATGGCATCAGCTATCGCCATTCCCTAGTCTTAAAACTTGATGGTCCGGAATAGCGAAAGTCAAGGGTGGCATGTTGACATGTTGATATCTGGATAGCCATCTCCTAGTCCGGTATTCTTGCGTACCAACTCAAGTAAGGTATGAACCATGGCTCGATAGCCCTCAAGGGGAACAAAGAGCGGTGTGTCGTTCTTGTTACTCATACCAGCAAGACCAACCTGGAGGGTTGGATCTATCCTCCTTCCTTCTGGTCGCCATGTTCGGAGGAATAGATTCCAATGCAGTACGTAGTTTGGCTCCCGTATCCGTGCCGTCCCGTGAAGGTTCGGAGTGCATGGGCCGATTTCCGCGGTTACTGCAAGGAGCACCATTCATTTTGAGTCGAAAGTGATATCTTTTGCTGCTATCCATGATCTTAACACGATGGTACATTCCTTTTTTTTTTTTTTTCTCATTCTTTTACCTTTCACATTTCGTTATTTTCATTACGGCCGTCGATGTGGATGCTACTGTGGGGTCATGAATCATTTCAAACACATCGGAAATTTCCTCGCAACCCCCCCGGGGAGAAGAATATGTCCGCTGTATGTAACATCGGGGGGAGCTTCGTGAGGAGGTGACTTTCGGATATTAGATGGACCTAATATCCGTTTCCCCACACGGGAACACAGAGACAAGCTCTCTGATAGATAACAAGAGGGTATCATCGCATTTCAGGCTGCTCTGATTGAGTGCGTGGACCAGAAGCTGATCAGATCGGGTCTATCGCGGGTGGTAACTCAATGTCAGCTACGGAAGGCGTGTCATGTTAGCCTTGAAGATGCGATCTGATGATTACTTTGGCAACTGGTTCCCGGTGTACTTCCCCGAATATACTCCGGGAGTAACTTGAAGTCTAAGTAGACTTTTGCAAACAATGGCTGCTCTAGTAAAAGGATCGACTAGACTAAATTGATGACCAAACAGGGGGCTATAACTGATCGCCGCTGGTCTAAACAAGCGTAGTTGTAAGTAGTGTAGTATTCGCAAGGGCTTTCGTTTCATTTGACTGGCAGAGTGGGTACAATAACGGGTGGTTAAAGCATACCCTAGTAAATCAATGCGTTCAATACAAAACATTAGTATAGTATAGTACACTAAGTAATACTAGTACATACATGCATCGGATTTGAGGTACATATGGCGCGGGTACTTCATACGTCACTCTGGATGGTCGGCGGAAACAGCGCTAAACATAAATTAGCCTTGTGGGTGGTAGCGGAGACTCCTGTCCAATGTCCTCAAACATGGAGGACGGTGATCGACTTCATCGGCCAATTAAATGTATTGGCGCTCCCTCCTCTAGCTCCTTCGTAGTTCGTCATTGGCGGATCGCGACTCGGCTGGATCACCAGCTCATTTTTGGTTTAGTCCTGTCACCGCGCAGGCCACCGCTCGCATTAACCGTGGTTCGGACCGCCTTGATTGGCCAGTGGCCCCTAGGCAGGAGGTGAGCTCAAAGCTGAGAACGTCCATTCCTCCTTCAACTTTCCTATTGTCAACCCTCCTCCCAATTTAGAGAACAACTGGGGGAGTCACTCGTCCCAAAAAGCCTACTACACTCGTTGAGAATCAAGATTCCTCATCTTAGCGTCCACCGAAAATATCCACGGTATGCACCACCTTTGTTTTGGCCTCGCGTCCCCGACCACCATCGTCACCCTCACACACTCTTCTTCCCCCCCCC